ATACCAAGATACTGGACTCCAGTTTATATAAATAATACGACTGATTGGAAATATTTCTTGTCTCATTCATTCATTATTCTGTGAGGAATACTGTTAAGAAGACCACATGCACCAGCTCTGGCACCGAGGAAACAAACCACTCCCCTTCTTTCAGTGAAAAAGATGTTTTTGAAAGTTTATAAAACCGTCCGAATAATTTGTTAGTCACCTAAATTATTTATTAAATCATAATTGTGGCTCTCAGAGTTAGCAGAGAATTTTAAAACTTCAGTAAGTAGGTCATTATGAATACAGTCATCCTTTAAGTTAATGTTAAGTTTGATAACAGCAAAAGGGAATTTAAAATAATTTCCACAGCTTTGTTTTGAAATTTCTAAAGATACTGTCTCATTTTTCTCATAACAATCAAAACAGACCAAGACAAAGCATTATTGCTTCAACTACAAAAGATGTAAAATCCTTTTTATCTCATCACTTAACATGGGTACCTAGAACAACATTAAAATTTATGCTTGACACCATGGAATTTGAACTCATGTGCCTAACAGTTAAGTGTGCCACAAAAAATTTTAAAGCTGAATACTTAAATTACCTTTGAAGTTCAAAGCACAAAAAGTGTAAATATCAAAAATAAAAAAAAAATTTCTTTTAAATAAAAAAAGCAGATTTGAAAAATTAGCAATGCTCTTGCTGGGACATAAACCTGGACCTCTCAAATACAGGCCAAATGTGCTAACATTACATCACGAAGGCATGCTGGAAGGAAATAGAAAAATATCTTATAAACTTTGCATTGACTACAGGAGCATACCTTTGTAATAATAAATAAATATTTTGTTATTAAAATAAATAAACATCAGCTTATTTTTTAAGTGCATGGATTGTAGTGATTTGACAGTGAATCCCAATATTATTAATCAAAATCATCCAAAGTATAAATGAGGTCGTATGGCTCAACAATCTCTTCTTGTGCCTGAAATAACAGGAAGAAGATAAAAATAATCAAAATAAATACAATAAACAACTCATATTTTAAAAATAAATAAACACGGGTATTAATTAAACAAATTTCCAACACTTTCAAAACAAGGACTTGCAAGATAATTGTGTCCAACTATTTGAATGTTTGAAAAACTCTATCTAGATTTAAAATAGGCAAGTAATTGGACACAAATATCTTAATAATTCTGGCTGCCCAGATGGTATAGTGGTTAGAGAAGCCTGACTGCGATACTGAAGAGCCTGGGTTTCGAATCCCGGAAAAGGCATGGATGTAAAAATTGTCTGTCCCTTCATAGGAGGTAGCACTAGCCGCCTACTAGGTGCCTCCACAATAAAATGGCCACCACTTCTGGCCTAAGTAATGGTTAATGCCGTTATAGCCAAGTGCCCACCTTTGAGGGAGGGAAATCGTACAAATCCTAGTTTTGAAAATTTTCCAAGCTCAATTAATATCTAAATTTCTTTTATAAAAACATGAGTCACTTTTTTTATTATTTTACGCTTGCTATTACATTTGCATACATAAAAAGATATTCATAATGTAACTAATACATTTCATTTATTTTACCTTTGGAATAAATACACAGAAACTCTAATTATCCTGACCAAATATGATTTGTTCAATCTGCTTTTTAAATGCATATAATCATATAATGCCAATTATAGGTTCGGCAAGTGCATTGTGCAAAGCATGTTACCCCATAAAATTCAAGGTATGATTTTTGTGTTTGACTCAAAGTAGATTTTTTTGGCACCAAACAATTATTCAGAAGAATTTTTGAGATGAAGATTTTATTAGCTATATACTGGACAAATGGCTGAAAGTTCCAATATAAACTCTATTCAATAGAAATTACTTCATCTGAAATTACTGACAGAAAATCAGGACACAGTCACAAAAGAAAAATAACTGCTTTTTAAAATCTGTTTCTGTCTTTAACAGTCCATCACAATTAAAATTGAAATGCCAGGCATCTGGCTTCCTATTTTGCACCCACCACTGAACCTTTCTATCATCACACTATACAAAGAAAGTTTAATGAGAAGTGTCTTTATGTCGGGAAGTCAATGATTTGTGCTTTGAGCTAAGTCTACAATTACGGGCCTGCATTTTCTTTAAAGGCCTGTCTACACGAAGCGATTTTCTTGGCCGACTTTCTCGTAGAGCAACAATTTTAAGGATCTGAGGATGCGTCAAAAATCGGTCATGTTCTTTTCATGTCATGCCGCGATTTCAGAACTGGTGTTCACTGCTCACTAGCGTACGATAAAATCGGAGTCTCTAGCCAATAAGATTGCTTTGAGTGATCACATGCTTTTCTCCTCATTCGGAATAATAAACATGGCTGCATTTCGTTGGAGCGAAACTCAACTAACAGATTTCTATAGAGAAAATGTTGTGTTGTGGGACATGAGTAATGTAAATTTTAAAAATAAAAAATTAAGAGATTCTCTTATTTTGATAAGATTTGTCTTCCCCATTACTTTATATATTCAAATATTTTCTAATTCCGGGTGGAAATGATTTTAACTCCCCCAAGAAAAGTTCCAAAAACTATTAATGATGCCATGTCATGGGTACTAGATGAAAATATTTAGAAACTACTTGAAACTGTGGTCGCACTTATTGAAAAAATTCAAAAAGCAAAATCTCCAGTCGAGAATAAAGCAGCGCAGAGACTCAATTGACTTTGCCGAAAATGGGAGTTAATCGGGTGATGAAGTACATAGCTTTCCCAAGAGTTCCTACACGAGCGATCATAGCCTAGTGGTAAAGAGTAGACTAGGTTTTCTCCGTACGTCGAGATCGTGGGTTCGATGCCCCACTTTAATTTTGGACTTTCTGCACCTGGAAGAACTTTTTAATTTAGTTTCTCCATCACTAAATTCGAACTGCATGACTTAAAAGTCACGTTTTATTTTTTCGCCTACGGGTGGGGTGTTTTAACGTCTTTCTTTTTATTTTACGAATGGCCATTGGCATGTATTTTAGATCTACTTGTCAAAAGTCACAAACTCAGTTTTGTGTTAATTGAATTTTGCGAAAGCAAATTACAGCCCAATTTAATTCAATATTGCTAAATTTTATTCGCTGATTAACGGATAGAGTCATATAATCATAGTTTCAGACCGTATTAGTTATTTAATACGGCTGATATTAGTTTTTTAATGTTCAATAAATATACTACTTAAGACTTTACACCTTTATGACATTTCTTATTTAAAATTTTTGCACTCAAATTACACTGTTGCTTTGTAATGTAGTAATCTTCATTAATACTTTTTACTCATATTGGTTTGATATTCATGATATTATTGTCTATTTATTCATTAATAAAGGTTTTGATTTAAAGCACAGTACTTACTTATTTTTTCTGAAACATGGTTATTTTATTATTTCAAGATTTAAATGCACAAATAGGAGTGCCAGAAAGTGAAATTTAAAAATAAATAAATAAACTAAAAAAGGAGTAATCTGTGTACTCAGTACACAAAAGAAAAGCGCCTTTTTTTTTTTTTTTTTTTTTTTTTTTAAATTTTTCTGCAAACTAAATTTAGCAAAAAATCAAAATCACGCGGCATCATCCGTAAATACTTTCCGAATTGTACTGTGTCTTCAATACGCAACTCCCGGAGCAGGGAATTACGAAGGCACTATAAATTTCTCGTCGTTTGACCCAATTTCTGGTCCAAACGCATTTTTTTCCCCTTCTGTACCAGTAGCCAAGTTCAAAATTGTAGCTGTATCTATAGTAGCAATTTAAAATAGTCATCCATTATTTTGACTATTTGACAACACCGTAAGCTTTGTTTACAAATCGTAGACAGTGCGACGCTGTAAAGGGCAGGAAAACTTCCTTTCATAGCGATTGGCTAAGTGAATTTCTGTACTAACAAGAAAATCATTCCGTGTGGACAGGCGAGCTATCTCAGATATTGTCAGCTGAGAAATCGCTATGTGTAGACGGGCCTTTACAGTAAATGAAAGTTCAATTTAAAATTTTATTCTACATGCATTTAGACAACAAATATGAAATATTCCAACCACTATTACCGAATATGACCGGTATGGCAGTGCAGATATTATGATAAGACAAGGAACAATGTTCAAAGATGTACTGCCCTGAACATGAAAAAAAGCATACCTATCTAGAGACACTAAAATAAAGTCTTTTAGAGGTACACATAGATAGATCTAACTTACTTCTCAGGGATTACAAATGTACATACATATCCAGCAGACTAAGTTGACACACTTTTTGACATCAAAAGCATTGAAGGAATAAATCTGTCAGTCACATTTTCTGATTCAAATGCCACAGAGAATTTATAATACCCTTGAAAGAGAATAACCTGAAGCCTATACTGAGCAGTGAAACTTTCCTTCTCAAACTTTAATTAAATATATCATTGCAAGCATGAAATCCCACCGTAATATGTGTTTATGAGTGATAAAGATCAGATTCCCTGTGATTGTCAAAAGTTAGAATTGGTTTCTAAAACAATCATTCCTCCCCCTCCAAGAAATATTATGCTTTCACAGGTTATCAATTTTATCTGCTTTAATTTTGTATTGTTTAAAGTAATATTTAAATTTTTATTTATATTTTGAAATACTATATATCACTTCAAATTCAATTTTTTCAACAAATTTTGAGAAATCAATATTTTTATACATATAAAAGATAACTTCAGATCCAATATATTATGCCAAATAAACTCATCACTGCAGTTTCATAATGAGAAACTCTATTTTAAATAGATCTTAGTTCTTAATGCAGAGAAGCAGAAATATTCTTTGATGAAAAATATTTAGTTTCTGTTAATTCAAGAAATAACTATTTCTCAATTATTTTTCCAAATACTAAGTATAAAAAATTTCGAATTGCACGCTCGTATACCTACATGCTATGTTTTCAAATAAATCAAGATAAATACAAGTTGGAAAAGCTTACAAAATATGTTTACTGTAATTAATTCTTTGAAAGAAAAAAGTATTATGTGTAACATGAATTTTATTACATAAATTTTCTTCAAATAGCTTTAACGATATAATAATTTTATCATAATAAAATATACATACAAAAAGAAATAATTGGCAGTGCTTATCAAAATATATACAGCCATGAAAAATTAGTGGAAAATATAAAATACTTCTTTACACAAATGCAGACATATGGATACAACTGATGTCACAACTGATGGATACAAATACATGTAATTAAAATGCATTTTTCTGTACAAAACAAATAATATCTACATAATTCTTTTACTTATAAGCATTTGCATATGTCTAGTTATGTACAACTTTCCTTTTCCTGTATTTTTACATTATCATGATACTGCAGTTTTTCGGATGAATTTTTATCTTCTGTTACAGGTGTTGAAAAACTTAGTCCTGATGGATCTGAAAATGAATCTAAAGTTATTCCACTCAAATTTACATCTAAATCAGAGGCATCTATACCCAGATCAAGGCTACTTAATTTATCTAAAGTGTCATCACAAGCTGTTTCGCAGAATGCCTGAGAATTGTCCATTCCTATCTGCTCTGTAGCAATAGCTAATATATCTTCAACTTTAAGTCGAGATGAGCTTACTGCAGAGTTTGTTGGCATAGCAGTAGCAGCTGCTCCAGATACAGAAAATGATTTCTGATGACCATCTTTTTGGACTGACACGTTTTCATTAAAATTTCCACGAATGGAGGTAGAAGGATGAGGCTCATAATTTGTTTCATATGTAAAATCTTGTTGAAACTGATTCACAGGCACTGCAAGAAAATATACTAATTTAGAGAAATTAACATTTATTATTTCACTTTATTACATTAATAAAATGAGTAGATTAAATCTTATCCCATTAGCTCAAAAATTAAAAATAGAAATCTGTTTCAAAATAGAGTTTTTACTTCAATAAATACATGTTTTATCCTTCAGTAAGTATTTTCAAAACCGAATAAAAAAATTGTCAGCTGCACAGTATTCAAATAAATATATGGTCTACCAGAAAGTTCTGTCCAATAATGTTACTTCAAGTTTCAATGTGCATGCAGGTATTCATTTAAGACATATATGCCCGTTTCTTTTTATCACTGCATTTAAAAACATCTGCTCTCCTAAATCACCTGAAATAAAAGTGTTTGATATCATTATTAGCGAGATGCAATTGTGTAAACATGAAATTAGCAAAGCAATAACCTTGTGCTTGTCATAGATTTATTCAAGAATTTGATAGATTTCAGTCTTGCGGATTGGTCTGCAAGACTGCAAGGTCTCCAAAACTGATTTCAGTCTTGCAAATTTCTTTACTCCTGATGAAGAGGGACCTGTATCTGTTTGCCTTCGAAATCAATTAAGTTTTTGACTAAATCTATGTCAAACGTATGGTTGATAGTTTGCTAATTTTATGTTTCACCTTGGCGCGTTTCTCTTGCGTCGTGTAAACATGGCTACCAATAAAATTCATATATAACACTGTATTTTGTAAAAATTCCAACAATGAAGAAATGCTACAGAAGACTATTGAAATTTAGTGATAGTTCCAGGAAGAATTTGCAGGTGATGGTTAAAAAAATTACAAGCAGGTGATTTTGACTATTGATAAGCCATGCTTTGGAAGGCCATCTTTGATCGATGAAAATACTGAGAAGCCCATGACAGAGCAAGATGCTTTTTTGACATTGACATCAGACATTTGCAGCAAAGCATTATTCAACTTAAGAAACCACTTCCGACCACATTCAAAAACTAGGATCAATCGATCAAAATTCCAGGTTATGAGTTAAGTGAGAAAAATTTGCATGATTAAATTATCATACATACATCTCTGCTGGCTTGGAACAAAAACGAACCCTTTTTGGACCAGATGATGAATTCAAATGAAAAGTGGATTACCTATAAAAACTTGTTGAAAAAAGAGAATACTGTAAACCCATATGACCCACACCCTTCACTTCTAAAACAGGTTTAAGCCTGAGTAAGTGGAATGGCCAATATTACAAGCTTCTGAAACCTAAAGAAAAGCTCAATTTATACAGATACTGTCAGCAAATGGATGATTTAAACAAAGCAATTAAAAAAAAGTGGTCAGTGACTTTTTATTGGAAAATACATCATAATAATGTCAGACCACACGCCGCTTTTAGTGACTCGTCAAAAAACACAGAGCTAGACTGGGAAATTCTGCCACATCCACCATATTCCCCAGAACTAGCACCCTCCTATTATCATTTGCTTTCTCTCCTTGTAATATATATTTTAAGGGGGCGAGAATTAAAACAGAAGATGTCCACCAAGCAATAAATGAATTCTTCACCTCTGAGGACAATACATTTTTCAAAAACGGTGGCAAGAGGTCATAAGTAAAAACAGAAATTAAATTGTACAATAAATATGAAAAATGTATTATTTTCTTTTATTTCCCAAATGGACAGAGTTTCTAACAAGATTTTTCTGATAGATACCTGTAATTTATGTTATGGTGCAAAAACATATCATTATCCACTAATTAATAAGCATAAAATGAGCAGAAGAAATGAGAACTGCTAGATCAGGCACTGGCAACCTATGACACGTGTGCCAGATTTGGACATGGTACAATTCTCAGTGGCATTCTACACCACTTCACAAAGCTATCAGGCAGACAGAAATTGCCCTGTCTCTCCTCTCTATGACATCAGAAAAGTAATTTCATCAGAGTGCATAATTTCTGTAGTGAACACTGTTATTAAAATAGTTAATTCCATAGTTTATTGTTCTTCATCGGCATACGCGCAATTTAAATCTCTTTTAGAAGAAGTGAACAAATCTTTTTTTATATGAAAATTATTTTGAGTCCACTAGAAGTTATTTAACAACAGAATATTCAGAATCATGTGTCAAATTGAAAGTCACAAATTATACTCCTGATATTGCAATATTAAGTAGAGCGGTACTCGGAAAAGGTTCACAATAAAATTTTAATTTTTTTAACTATACTGAAGGAATACTTGTATTTTATGTTGTTTATTTTTTTAATAAATATGTTCAAAAAATACATAATACATGCACAATTTTAATTTTTTATTTATGTTGAAGGAATAGCTATATTTAATGCTGTTTATTTTTATATTAATAAATATCTTTAAATTATGCATAATTAACATAAAATAAAACTCTAAATCTGCATTCTTGTCTTCTATTCCCTAACTCTGCATGCATTACTACAGGAATCCAATTGCTTTAAATATTTCCTACTGTGTGGCATCCTGAATTATATTGGTAAATTGGTTTGGCACACCAAAGGTACAAGATTGCCAATCACTGTGCTAGATCCTTAGTCTGCCAAAAAAAAAAAAAAAAAAAAAAAAAAAAGTTGATATTGTTATGTACACTAATAATGTCTGCTAAAACACAAAATTTTGAATATGTTATTTTGTGTTTGAAATGAATGGATATATTTTAATAGTGCTTTAACATCAAAATAAACAGACTAAGAACTAATGAAAATTTATGTCATAAATAAAAGTACTAGCTGTGAAATTCGTGATTAAGGTAATAAAATACAAAATGAAGAATTGAATGTTATTCCATAAACTCATACCTTAAATGATTTTTCAAAAAAAAAATGCATATTTTACTGAAATATTTCACACACACTCACAAGTAAGACTAAATTAGTTCCCTATTATATAATCAATGGTAAGTATGCAAACACACAAGTTCTTTTATTAAAATTTAGTACATAAAGTGAGCAAAATTATTGAGATATTGTTAACTATTGCATTAAGACACTAAAGAAAATTTACACTTACTGCTCTGATTATTAAATTTCATTCGTACAGCTTGTTTAACAACTCTTGGAGAAACTGCAGGCTCAGCTACATAAAGATATTTCATTTAAAACAAATTTAATTAATTTAAAATGTTAATAAAACTGCTATCTAGTTTTAACATCAGAAGGATATGAAATTTTATTCTCATAACTTCATTGTCTGCTGTGATTGCCAGCTTTGATTAAAGAAAATTAATTGCATTATTTCAAGGACAATTTAAAATGTGCACTTTCACAAAAAAAAAAAAAAAAAAAAAAAAAGTTTTAATAAGTTAGGAAAATTTTTAAGAGAATCATTGAACTTAGCAATTTTTAAATTCACTAGTTAAATAAAAAAAAATAGTAATCTGATATATATTGGTAATCTGATAAATTATTTTGCTTTCCCATAAAAAGATTTTGTCACCAGCTGAAAAAAAAATGGCTCAGTTTAAAAATCTATAACATGTACAACTGGTTTCCTGCAAAAATTTAGCATGACATTAAAAAATCTTACAGCAATTCACACACAATTAATTACTTTTATAATCATTTTAATCACTGTAATTTTAGTTTTTAATGTTAAGTAAAGCAAGAAAATTCTGATTTGACAAGGTATAACTCTAGGCTTTTCAATGAAGCCTCTATTTTGGAAGTCAATTATATAAATTAAGTTATTTATTACAATTAGGTTAGGTTATTTGATTATGGAAAGTACACAAGGCCTATCTACTTATGGGAAGGGATGTCTTCAAGGAGGACTTTTTAAGGGAACCTGGCTCATAATCACAATACACAAAGGGAAAATCAGCCATGTAGTCAAACTGTATTTATTACAGAAAAGCATTTAAGAATTATGCGCCTAAAAAAGGTCCTCACAGATGACCTTGAAACACCAAATTCATAAAAGCTGCACATTACAGAAGTGATGAAAACACTCATGCAATTGGCAATAACTAAAATGGAACTCTCTTCCCAGGATTTAATATTATTGATGGTAGCTGAGCAAGAATATAATTTTATTTTTTATATGAAAAAACAGCACACTTTTGCTTACTAAATTTTTATTAAATACTTCAAATGGGATATTTCTATTGAAGCCAAAATTAAATTAAAACAAAACATTAATTTTTAATACTAGATATTATTATCGAAGCACTACAGCATGCATCTGGAAAATGTATACACACTTTGAACTCTCATAGAAAATTTATTTTCAAACCTACAAGGTTAAATTTCTCGTAATAGTAAGTTTATACTCCAATTTGAAAAATAAGTGTACTTTTTGGTCAAACTGAATGTTCTATATGGTGTTTAAAGCAAATGGTCAAATGGTAATCTTCAGCATCGATTCGTTTCTGAGTCAGGCCAGATTCCGTACTTTGCACCAAAATGTCCAATGGGATTTCTGAGTACATCTCATTAATCTCATCCCAAAGTATGTCAAGGTTACATGGTTTACGACACATTACGATAGCATTCAGGTCCAATTTTGTGAATGGGTTCAGGAGATGGTTACACATGAACCGGGATTAATGGGCTATAGTGTTTCGTCGAATGAAGTGGAATTTAAACTTAACGGAATTATCAATAGGCATAACTATGTGCACTGGATTGAAGATAATCCTCACATTACTGTTAAAAAGGCTGTGAATTTGCATGGTGCAAAAATATAGTATAGTTCGTCTCCTAGGGTAATCATTGGACCTTTCCGTTTTGAAGGTTATGTAATTGGAGCAAAGTACCTACCAATGCTTGCTAATTCTATTTTCCCTGATATTCTGTAATGTATCATGTCTTATTACCAACAAGATGCCGCCTCTTCACACTATCACAAGGATGTGCAAGAATACCTGGATCAAAATGTACCAAGCCAGTGGATAGGATGCAAGGGACCAATCGAGTTTCCTGCATGCTCTCCAGACTTTACACCACAGTCAAAGATGAAATGTACCCTCACAGACCACAAAACCTTGACACACTTTGGGATGAGATTCAAGCAGTGTGTGCAGAAATGCCATTGGACTCTGGTGCGAAGTACAGAATCGGTTGTGACTCGTACTCAGAAATGTATCGATACTGAAGACCACCATTTTGAACATTTACTTAAACACCATTTGGAACATTCAGTTTAACCAGAAAGTATACTTATTTTTCATATTGGACTGCAGCCCTACTTTTCCCAGAAATTTAACTTTGTCGGTTGGGAATTCAATTTTTTATGACAGTTCAAACTGTATATACATTTTTCTACCTGTGCAGTACCGCGTTTTAACTCAGTAAGACCGAGTTAACTAGGGAGCGGCACTGACTACCATATTATAAATAATTTTAAGTTAAAAAACTTAGAAGCAGTGTTGCCTATCAGGACAGAGTTTCTACGAGTTTATGATATAATAATAAAGAAAGTGAAATGCCTAAAAAGCTAGGAAATTCAGAGAATCAAAAATGATAGTTTCGATTGGTAAAAAATGTACGTGAAATCATTACATATATTTGAAAACTATTTACTACAAGAAAAATATTTTGCACTAAAAGACTATTACAACTAATGTAATTACAGTCAAAAGTCGTTAATCCGGACTCGTCGGGACTTCAGTGATTCCGGATTATCGATTTTTCTGGATTATAGATCATCAGTTTAAATCTGGTAAAATGGCATGAAAAATTATAAAATTAAAAATATGAAACCGTAATTTACGAAATAAAAACAATTGATGATTTAAAGTGTATCAAAATTTACAAAAAAAAAAAAAAAAAAAAAAAGGCTTAATATTTGTTTATTATTAACATTTTCTTTCAAAATAGCTTTATTTTTGTTTACTTTATAAACATTTCTTTAATGTAAGTTGTTTAAGTTGCTTCGTTTTTTATGTGATAATACATTCTCTTTAATTCTATAAACAGACATAATTCTTGTTCAGCTAAGTTACGAAAGTCTAGAAGTGTCGAGAATACCGACTAATTTGTCAATCGAAATTTTTTCGTTTTCAATAACCTCTGTCACTTTCTTCGCTATCGGAAGCGAATTGTAATGACGAGGCATTTGATTTAAATCATATCAAAGATGGAGTACATCGAAATGAAATACTACATTTAGTAAGCAATTATAAGCCAAATAAAATAAAAACATCTGCCCTGAAGATAAGGATAGTGCTGACAGATCAACTTCCAATTCATTGCGTGCCGGCGGCAGCGTTAAAGATAAACAAACGTTAAAGTTTACATAAACAAAGGATATGCCTTTATCCATTTTTTGGAGCAATTCCACTTTTTGTTTAATGGACTCCGAAACATACTTTCGCTTTGTAGATCCGTTACGTATTAGTAAATATAAATCAGAAATTCTATTTGACATAATCAAAAGTTCAAGCTTACTTTTACTTTGCTCTAAAATTGCTAAAAAAGTCTAATAAAATAATAAGAAGGATCCAATTTAAGGAACAACGCAATCTGCAACATTAACTGAAATAGATAATTAGAGCTTAGCTTATACCATCCGTTATACATTAAACGCGCATTCGTAAACGTATTTTGCGCACGCGCACACGTAAATTCGCAGCCGTAAAGGTCTTACGCGCATGCGTCAACGCGACGCATGCGCAGAAAGTTTGTAGCTTTGAGGTCCGGATTATGGGTGTCCGAATTAACGACTTTTGGCTGTATTTCTACAAATTAATTTTATAATCAAATGTCTTGATACGAATACTGCAATATGTGCTTTAATAGCCACATGCTTTAAATTACTGTAGTTCAATACTATATTTAGAATTCTCCTATTAGATTCAAATTTTATTTTTTACTTCTTTCACTTTATTTAGTGATACTTTTTGCATAAATACAGTAATTTTTGTAATTGAAGAGGATAAAAAGGCTGCAAAGAATATGAAACATTTCTTCAAGAGACCAAATAGTTAAGAATCGATTTTTAATAATTTGCAGCTGATTTGAAACAAACATTCATATGAAACTGTTACAACTTTGCAATTCGCAGTTAATTTTTTATGAAACATTTTTTTTTTTTTTTTAATTTTAACATTTTTAACATCCTTTTCAAGATACAATATTTCATACTATTCCATAGAATTTATCCTAAAACATTCAAAAGTAATCTCAGCAGACATATCAAAAGTTTTCTCAAAAATACCTGAAAAGAACAAAACTCCTTTTGACACACTCCTCTGAAACCTTCTATTCACTGGTTACCAATACCATTAGCTAGTTAAAAGTAAGTGAAAGTTCCAAGGAAAAATACAGACGTTAATAGGCCTGATTAGGATATTAGAAAGGTAACTTATGATGAGGGCTACAAAATGTTTCAAATGAAAGAAAATTTGTTTTTATCCACAATATATTCAATGGAAAAATAAACATACTGGTGGAAAAAATTAAACTAGCAGCTATAAAAAGATGCTTTTTGTTCCTTCTATTCAGAGCAAACTTTTGAAAAGCAGCTCATTTGGAGCTTAAGGTCAATGCTATCACACAGTTCAATAAGATTCACCTTTGCGACAGAGAAAAGTGTAAACGTTTGCACCTATTCTTTTGGCATATATGAAAAGGGGAGCAAGGAATGCTTCAAATTCTAATTTCAAGGACTATATGTGTAGATGGATAAAATTTTTGCAGGTAGATGGTGGAGCATGTTGCTTAGAAGACATATGATGGATTGTGAGAAATGGTTAGCAGTTGAGATAATAGAAGCCTAACAGACATTGATACAGGTCTGAAAAGTCCTAAAACTAGCCAACAACATAATGACACGAATCTGGAAGCAGTTTAAAGATATTGGTGATGTATGCAAACAACCAAGTCGATGTCAAAAACAACGAACTCTAAGAATCATTATTTCACAGCTGTTAAATGAAATGGATAACTGACATCAGCCGATATTGCAAAAGAGCTTGCTACAGCTATGAAAACTCAACTATCCACATATAACATAGGTGATAGTCTACAAAAAAGACATCTATATGCAATGAAATTTATGATTTGTGTCCCACTAACTTAGGATATATTATGCACTTGATAGATCATCCTGATGGAGCACTACAGTCAGAAGCAGAGGCAGAGTTCTTGTGACTGATGAATATTGTTTTTGTTTAGAGAGTGATTCCCAATATGTTATAACCTGAAGGAGTAAAGCACAAGCAACAAGACTAAAAACATCTGCGAAAGCCATAAAACAATCGTGGTGGAATCATGTTTATATGCGACACCATTTTGAATGGACACAGTGATCTAAGCATTTTTACCAGCGCAACTAATTATGAATGCTGAAATATACACAGATTAGGTTCTTGATAATTAATCAAGTTTTTTTATAATAATTTCCCTACCCTAATGGGCAATAATGCTTGTCATCATAGGTACAGTGACAATTACCTTAAAGGCAAAGGAATCCAATAGATGGAGTGGCCTGCATATTATCTTGATTTAAATCCGATAGAATGTGTGGAACTCACTATGATACCAACTAGTATCCTGCAGCCCTAACCTAGCCCTCTCCAAAAATATCAAGGTGCTATTTATCATGAATATACTTTGTTACAGCAGGAACTTCTAGACAATCTAAAACACAACACAGAAAATCATTGTACAGCTTGTATTTTAGTCAAATGTGACCACACATCTCTTTAATTTTTTTTATGAATTTCTAAAACATTGTAATATCAATGTTTCCCTTCCCCCCCTTTATATCACATCAGCAATATTTTTATTCACTTCTGGCAGAAATAGACAATCCTGCATTCCAAAGGTGTGCCGAGCATAACAAAACAAAATCATTTAAGTTAGATCAGTTTTTATAGTTGTTTCTTTGATTTTTCATGGCAGTGTATTTCTCTTATACTATGTTCCATGACAGAAGCCAATTTCACCTTGAATTTTTTATTATTACAAAACTCACATCGGCTTCACCTACGCTCTCAGAAAAGAAAGAAAAGAATAACATAAATTTGAAAGTATGTATACAGATAAAAATCAGACTGTCGAAGGTACAAATAAAGATTACCAAACAAGATCCAATAATAAAAAATTTGCATACTTTCTAAACTCCAAAAAAGTTAAATATATGTGAGGAAGAAGAAAATTGTAAAACATTAATAATTAAAACATCTTCCTTAAATATACATCTTATGTACAAATGTTTCGATGTGATATATTTCACCATCCAATATTTACTGAATATGAAATTATTAAATAAAAATGAAAATTTTACCAGCACTATCTGATGATAAATTATTCAACTGAAGGACACGATCTAGACGTAGCGCTTCAAATTTGCGCCTTTTTCGAGCCATACCATCTGGATCTGAAACCAAAACATTTACAATTTCCATAAGGAATCAGAAGAAATAATTATATTATTTTCAAATTCTTGTAATCTAACAATAAGCAAATAAAAAATGTGACTCATTCTTTCCTGTTACAATATTATATTTGTATGAACAAGTTCAAAATAACAAAATTAAAACATCTACTAATATTAATAGATCATAAAAAATAAATTTTATAGGTTAAAATAGTCATGTTTCTGGTTTCATTCTTAAGCAATATTACTATATAATATGTAAAAAGCAGAAGAAAACTGAATTAGATTTTAAATCAACATTATTCTAAAAATAAAAAATCTATTACATGGGAAATTTCAATTAAGTTCCAAATTTATAAATATGCTGCACTGGGTGTTCTCCCCCCCCCATAAGAATGCTGGGAAACATTTGTCTCCTACTGTAATCACTTTTTTTCTCCCTCCTCTCCCAAATCTTCATTATTTTGCATTAGAAACAACTTTTGGACTAACTTCTAACGTTTTTAGCTTAGAAAGGCAGTCAAGTTACAATGGCAACAATGTCTAAACCAGTGGTCACCAAACTTATGAAGCTTCTGAGCTACTGTGCCATTTTTAAATCCTACTCTGAGCTACAAACCAAAAGAACAACTAATTTAAAAAAAAAAAAAAAAACATTACATTTGTTAATTGTCTATAAACTTACATTTCTAGTAAATATGAAATCAATTTTAATTAAACTGTATATAACAAAACAAAACTGAAATTGAATTGTACTAAGAAAGAAAATGAAGTATAGTTACTAATAAATAACAAATGCAATGACAGTTATTTTTATCAGACTTATTAACTTTAATCAGAAGGATTCAACTCTTTTTCGTTATCAACAAGTTTTTTAGTGTTGAGAGAGTAGGTAATGGCTGCCAGTTGAATACAGTTGTCCAAGTGTTCATCAGCGAGTCTGTTTCTGTACTTACTTACTGAAAAAAGAAATCTCATACAGATATGTACAGCTGAATATTGCCGTACTTTGAGACAAACCTGGACCAAACTTGGGTATTTTTCTTTAGGAACAAGAGGCCAAATATTTTCAGAGCTTGAAAGCGATTTCACAGATACCTTCACAGAAAGATAATGCAATCTTCACAGAAAGATAATGCTTCAGTAGAGTTGAAACTGATTGTTTTCACTAGTCTTTTGCACTACCAACCAGAAGCGATGTAAGATAAGAGGAACTCAATTTTGTATATATATATTACTTCCACAGCTGAGATTGTTGGAGTAAATATATCCTTGAATTAAGTAGAATAGGAAAAAAGAAACACTTTATTGTAACCAACTGCTTTTATGGCCCACTACCTAAAATAGTTCTAAAAAAGAAAATATATATATTGACAATCATGAGTACAGCTAGTGTTAATTTCATGTGTCCAGCTAGTAATTAATAATTACAGAGATAAAAAAACTGCATGCATTGCTTTTAAATTACTTAGTTTGTTAACCAGTAAGACAGATCAAATTTGAAAGGTAAATTAAGTATTGTACGTTTCACCATATGGCAAGAAACTTTTTCATAAAAAGTATTTTATATTGAGCAATAGCGACACATACCTTTTAAATCGATGAGCTTTCTAACCAAAGTTGAACTACAAAAATCTTATGCTTAGTACAGTGACAACAAACACCTTTTAAATCATTCAATTCGTTAATCAAGAATACATTAAATTTGCACAAAATACAAAACAAAAACAAAATTCAAAATTCTTTCAGGCTTTGAGGTGCATATGTTTGGGTGGAGGATTATATGTATTTGAAATATGACAGCTCAATGTGCCACCACTTTTTAAACAATGATCGTAAATAATTTTCAAACAATAAAATAAGTTGATATAAATGACTTCAGGAATGAAACAGCTTAACAGATTATATTACTCATTATCATTTTCAGGATTAAAGCATGCTGTACCATATTTCTCCCAGAAATTTTGGCCTCTCTTTTATGTATTCAAAAATTAATACAACTTACTTAATCTATAAATAAATAAAAATTTGCCTGAAAGTTCATTTCTCTTTAACATGCATAACAAATACAGATTGTTCAATTTAAAAGTGGATTGCATATTTAAATCAGAGTCAGCAAGTTTCTTACACAACAGAAAAAAATCATGGGAAAAAAAACACAGCTAAAAAAAATAGTTCTTTTTCCTCCCATTAATGGGGAAGAAACTAGGCTAAACTACACATGAATAAAATATGGATACAAAAACATAAATATTCACTTATACTTTTACATCCATATTTTTTTCATATGCAGTACTGTTTATATGTAGCACTCAATAAAAATGTACCTAAGGAAGTTTAGATATGTAAAATAAGATTTTTTCTTTTAAATCTGTTTGTTTTTAATTTTGCAAAAAGTTCATATTTTTTCAAACATAAGATAAGAGGGAAGTTACTTGTTCTTTTATTACCAGAAGCACCAAGTGCTATCTATAGATCACTTATTATCTGAACTGCTAATTATGGTGAGTGAATAAAACTTCATAACTACCTTATTTATGATAAATGAAATTAAATTTTAAAATGTTTTTCAAAAATTCTCATTTTAAAATAATCAGAGCATTAACAGGTTAAATAAAAGTAATTTGTGTTACACCACATAGACAGAATCATTAAGGCCATTAAAATAAATTTGGTTCCAGCAAGTTAATCGCTGCATGCAGTTCAATTCAAACACAATAAAAGCTCGGGAAATGCTGAATACCTGATAAATGAAAATTCTGAATAGTTGAACATATAAAAAGTGCAATTTATGGTAAAAAAGTTAAGTGAATGGAAAAAGAAATTTTTAGGCTTAAAATTATAAAAATTGATCTTATTTTTATAATATTAGCTTGAATATTATAAAAATATTATTATCAGCTTATGTTATTATCAGCTTGAATATCAAAACCTAACATTTAAAATTACAGACACAGCAACAGACAGAGGATGGCATCCAGTGATCTTCAAAAAATAGTTCAGCTTAAAACTGCATATGCATCACCCTTCCCTTAAAAGCTCATTTCTGCAGTGATGCATGGGTGAGATACACATCTGTGAGAGATTTTTGTAGGGAATGCATATATGAAATGCCCATCCAGAAAGGGTTAAACCCCATGCTACAAAGTAATGATACAGGTTTGATTTCTTTTAGCTATAACAGTGACCTGCATATTCATGCAGGATGTATTTGTTATGGCTAAAGGATAACTTGATAAGTTCTCGACACTATTGTGATACTGCACACTATAATAGCTTATCCATCACTTATTATTTCTTGTTGATGATAATGTGCATCCATATATAGCACACCCAAAAGATCAGTGCCTCAAAAGCGAAGACAATGCTTGCATGGAGGGGCAATCATATTTGTCTTCTCTCATTCCTATCAAAATCTTTGAGTTTATCTTGAATATGATATATCTGCTTAGGTAACGCTTTAAAAAAAATTGGAGACAGCCTTACATAAGAAATAGCAGTTACTACGTTCTGCTGCCTCGGCCATTTAACTGAAGGTATGTTCCTACATTTTGGATAGCTTACGTAAATGATTACAATATACTAAACTATATTTCTTTTAGTAGTCATTTGTATTTATTTAGTAGCATTCTGTAATCATGAATATATAACTGAATTGCCTATTTTCATGTGAAATTCTGAGTCAATCAAAGCACAATTTTGCAGTCATGCCACATTTATAGTCACATGCTGAACTACATCAGGGTTAAGTCACTTACTTGCATATCTATCAGTTAATAATGAAAACTCATACCACAGAAATTAAAATACACATCAATTTATGATATTCTACCTGTGAGAAGTGCAAAACCTAAGTTATTACAGAACTTGTGCTTACCCTGTCTCAAAGGGTGCAGAATAAAAGCTCTTGGTTTCCCTACAGCACCATCGGAAGGTCTCCGTAACTGAATGAAACAATCAATAGACTGATTAACATTTGTACTTTTATAAGCTGGTGTCTGGAATGATATTGCAGCTTTTCTGTGCACATGATGTGGGGCAAATTTCCCCAAAGCAGACCATGTAACTTTGCCATCATTTTCTTCATAGAATATTATTTGAATATCATCTGCAAGGAAGTAAAATGTCAATAATGATCATCTCAAATAAAAATCTAAATACTACAAACTACAAAAATATAATAATTACAATAAACAACAGCATGTACAAAGGCTAGTGGGTTACCTTTATTTACTTGATCACACAATAATATAATTTCTTGACCACCAGTAACTGGAGCTGAAGAATGACTTAATTTTGTAATTGTAAGGTCAGAGACAGTTTCTGAAAAGAAAAGGATTTCATTAAAATGTTTTACTCAGCAAACAGAAAAATAACTATCAAAATTCAACGCAAGTATTCTACATAATTAATATCACCAGACTTAACTAATATGCAAAGCCCATAACCTGGAATGCAAATATATGCATGCATATGTTTTGATAAACCTATAGAATTTTACCACAATTGTGTGTTCCAAGACCTTACATTGAAATCCATTTTTCAGCCTGATAGTTGGGCCAGAATATTAATCTACTAATAGATGATATTATGTGTTAAAATGTGTTCTGTTTTACTTACTAAATGGCAGTACTAATCAACAATATTTTCACAACAATGCTTTACTCATAAACTTCATTTTCCCTTTCAGGAATGTTTGTTTGACATTTTCATTTCATACATCAGATTTTTATTTTATACACAGTATCCTTAAATGAGTTCAATGAAGTTATATGGCATATACATGAGGTTAAAAGAAACAAAATATAGTGGTGGAGTATTTGTATTACGATGAGAATATCTGCATTTTTTATATCTGCATGCAGTATCCATGTTAGCCGTGCTGCACCCGTACGCACTTGTTTTAGAGTGAGCATAAAGACTTAAACTTTTCACCAAGAGATTCTCTTGCACTTGTGCTTCACTGTTCCTAAGTGTTTGTGGTCGACATTTGGTGTCAGCTTATCACCATGTATTTAGTTTCGTATTTTACCTTTTAATTTTAAATAAAGTTAATTTTATGTTTTACCAAAGCTTTCGACCCTCCTTGAATGAACCTTCCGACAAGTTTGGAATCTTGTGGCATAAACCATCACCACAATATCATTGGTACACCATTGCTTTCAAAGGATCTAGAAATTTATTTCTGAGACATGTGGCCTGCTGAAAGAAAGGATGCTTATTATACACATACAATATATGCACAGACGTACATACTGGCTAAATACCTGCGACTGTTGACAGTAGCAGATGCAAGTGAGAAAACTGAACAGATATGGAATAAAAGAAAGTGCAATGGCAAAAGCAAATAGTATCTCTGGAAGGATTATATGCATGTTTCTAACCATGGCTGAGCTACAAAAATATAGCCAGTTGGTGAGTCTTCTATGAGAACAAGGTTAATGAAAAGTGTACACATATAACAAAGCAGATCATGATACATAATTAAATATGCAAATTGGAAAATTGCATATAGTACTACTATAATATGCATTATAAAATTATGCAAACAGGAGTACATATCTATATATATCACAAGCTGTTCATACATTATTAAATCATCAGTCAATGATGTAAATACAAGCAGCAAGGCTTCACTGCATTATATACTATGTGACAAGCTTAAAGATGTCTGCTGCCATCCAAATGCTGTCTAACTGTGTACAATCAACTCCTCTGCAGAATTCAAGATATCCTTGCACACAAATGATTTTACAAAGCTCCATAAGAAGAAATCAGCAAGTTTCAAATCATATGATTTGAAAACCAGAAGAATATCACTGAGAATAAGTCACACGCATTCGTCAGTTTGCCCGGCCAGATACGAAGTCATATGATTTTGGCACATTATCACCTGAATGAAATGTTAAAATTTTTCCAATAATATTTTGTTTTTCTAGATTATCAAAAATGACACGTATGATGACAGTTAGGATTTTGTGGCATGGTAAAGAAAGAATAACTAGTATCAGTATCTATTGTAATGACTTTTAAAAAAAGGCCTGTATGTAGTATCTTGGTTTAAAAAAAAAAAAAAATTCTAATGAAAGCTGGAAGATAGACCACAAATAAGAGGAATGTACACAAAACATACAAATTTTTGGCAAGACTTCAACTTTCTTTTACAGTTCAAGGGTGATGGTGACTACATACTACTGAGGTGAATCCATGCTCAAACAGATTTTTAATCTGGGTGAAAGTTTATCCATCTTGACTCATTTTCTTGTCACGTGGAAAGAGTTTCTGAATCCTTCAACCTGAAAGTTCTGCTTCAAATAGATTTCTGAAATTAAAATATTAATTCATATACATGCCTATCCCTCAAGTAACACAAGATGCAATGCTGGGGAAAAAAAAACTACCCACACATTAATGAGACAGCCTAATTCATTAGTCTACTGATATAATAACTATTCATGTTACGTGTATGGGTTCCTAATGGATTGAATGCATGCAGAACCAATGATAGCTTGATAAAATTTATTTTCCCAAAAGAAAGACTTTACAGTTCTGGAACTTTCCATAAAAGTACTCATACAGCTCTTCTCAGTATGAAAGAGCACAATTAGTAGTTACCACGTCAAACTACTAAGTTAAACACAACACAATACAAAGTGTCTCTAAACAGTGAAACACACGGAGATCTCTCAATACTGCAAAGTTAAATTGGAATTTAAAACTGAGAACTGATGTTTTTTCTGGTCTTGTATAGTTTTCTCCCGGAAGCCAAAGAATTTCCAGTACCTTCCATTTCTCAAAATTGCTGGAAGGCATATACGGTTAAAGTTACATGTAAGGGACGGATATGGTTACACTTACATATAGGGATCAATTACAGTTATACAGGGACCGGACCAAAATATCGCCAAATGGTCACTTAAGTTTTACAACTTTTAGCAATTTATTACCAAATTTGGCAACAAAAACCATCACTAGCTTTGCAATACCTCACAAATTTAGTGAGCTAACCATTTACCTCAATGTTAAATAGACTTACACCTGTAATCTTATTTTTCTGGGAGAGTTTTGCTTTTCTTGTAGCCATGTATGTTAAAATTACATAAAATTCACAACACTATGCCCCTTTGCAGAATTAATGAACAATATATTTTACAATAAAAGGTCCTAGCCAATAACAAAAAGTTTGACTGCAAGTAGAGGAATCAGTGGAAGAAAAAAATTAAAATAAAGATCACAAATGGATGCATATATGCATTAACTTTCATATCAGGGTGGTGAAAAAAAATCTGCTACTCAAAAGCCTGATGTAATATACATAACTGGTTGTGTATGAGCTGGCAAAATAAGCACAAAATTCAGTTTTTAATGACATTGTACATAGTTAATGTGTATAAGTATGATATTATAAAACAATATAATATTACTGCACTTTTTGAAAACCTCTCTGCTTTCAATGCATTAATGGAATTATGCCTGGAACTGCAACTATTTACTAAGTTTTGATGAAGAACTGAATAATAGCAATAAAAGTTTTTTAAACAATTGTAGATGAAGGTGATGACTCTAGCTATCAACCATGCTTTGCAAGTTTGTGGAAATTTCTTTCTAATTCATTTTTTGATTTAGAGCCTAAATCTTTGCATGAAATAAAACATGATTTTTACTTGTTACTTCGATTTTTGAAGATGAACACTTGCCACTAGGATATTATTCTGAAACATCCTTCATCCAACACCAGATTTCTTACAAAGATGAATCTTTACATCCAGGGATATGTAGCACTAAAGGTAGAATTGTTTCTTTGGTCTCATCTGTGCTTTCCATTTTCATCTTTTCATCATAACCTTGCATCTTTTCCATTGATTTGACAATTGTTGTAGCCTTTACATGAGGCCAGGCCCATGTAACCCAATAAGCAACAGCCTTTACATTGATGTGTTCCAATTTTTCAATTACGTCCTCCTGTCCATCTTCAATTTCTTCTTTCACAGTGAACAATAACTTGATGAGATTGTACCTTTTCATAATTTCTAAAAATGCCCTAATCCATAGGGTGACAAATGGTGGTTATCCTGGGGAAGGAGCAGAAGCACTGATTTAATGTCACCATCTTTAAACTCTTCTGCATCATGGTACACTGTAGCAATATCTAGCAACAAATCAGCTTTCTGGGCTATTATTTTCTTTCAAAAATTTCTCTGTTGAAGGATTAAATTAGTTAAAGAACCAATCTGAAAATTTCACTGCCTACTATGTGTTTTTCTGACAATAGTATTTTAAAAGAAGAGTGCTATTTAAGACTGTTCAAAAGGCTCCATGATCTTAAGACTTGCCAATCATCACAAGGTTCATTTCAAAATTTGATGTAGCATATTCTACATGCTAAAACTGTCCGCCTTTCTTTGTCTTCCTTACACATAGAAGTTGCTGCTTTAATTCTAGCTGCAAGACTCTTACATTTTAATTAAGGTCTGACTCATCTCACAGTTATTTCTCACATTAAATATCTGATTACCTGTTATTTTTTCAGTTTCCATTAATTCCTGTTTTCTTTAGATGTCTATATTTCTTCAAAATTTGAAGATGCTTTTTCATAATGATGGATACTGTGATTGCCCCCCCTCATCAGTCAAACCAACTGACACACACTTGCTGAAAAATCTGGGTTTCTTTCATTGAAATAATTGTGAAAATGCAATGCCTTTTTGCTATAAAACAGTACTGAAATAGCATATAGCATACTTTTGTTCTTGAACTGTGTAAACCAATCATACAAAGCATGTTTTCATTATTTTTAGTCACATTTTTTCATTAGTCACATTTTTTCCTTATTTTTGTTTCTTTGAGCATTCTGTAACACTTGATGTACACCATTTTTCTATAGTTTCCTTTTCCAATCTCATACCGTTACCCATCCAATGCCAAAGCAATCAGTACCTTCTGCATAGTCTCTCCTTTGTTCAATTTATTGATTACCTCAAGTTTTTGTTCCATCAATACGACAACTTTCTTTTTGCCACCATTCTTTCTGTATCTGCGTAAATTTCAACTTTTAAACTCCACAACCCAATCAAACTAGACACACCACACACAGACACATATGCATGGACAGTAACAGACCATAAACTGATCCACTTACAAATGATAAATTGCACTACACTGAATGACAGACACATGAACCACAGAGTAGACAGATGCCTCACAAAAGAGTTGGCAGCAACGAAAAAAAACTATGTTCAGAACTTGCAATTCTTGTAGCTCATTGAAGCAGGGTTTTATTTTGGTGGGGGGCCATAGTATGTCAGATACGCAAGACTCTATTG